TCACAAGCCTGGAGGCTGGGAAGCCTCATGAGCTGGGTATCAGCAGAATTAGGCTCCTGGCTACCCACCTCTTCCTGGCTTTTTGATGGCTGCCTTCTTGCTATTGCCTCACATGGTGGAGACAGCTCCAGTCTCATCTTCCTACGAGGACACTCCCCCATTATGGGGGGCAGGGGCTCCACCCTCATGACCTCATCTAAACCTTACTTCCCCAGGCCCACCTTCCAATACTATCACTTCCACACTGGGATCTTGAGGGGACACAAACATTCGGTTTATAACAGATGGGCCCTTGGCCCAGACAAGACACCCACCTGGAGGGCAAAAACAAGAAGACATGAAACTCATCTCCATCAGTATTGCTAGAGGATCACCTGACTGCAGCGGCGTGCCAGCCATTATGGGGAGGGGGTGTAGGGGACTCACCAAGTCCAGAGGAGACCAAGCCTAGCTTTGTGGAACCCCATGGGAGTACCCCTACATCCTTCCCACACAGCCCTCTCCTCCAGTCTAGGCATTCATCCCCAGGGCTGACCCCAGCATCTTTCCCACTAGAGGCTGGCACCCCAACAGGCTGAGACAAAAGGCAGAACCCGCTGTGACTTCTTCAGGCACGTTCCCAGTGGCAAGGCTCCTAGCAGCTTCCCATCTCCAGGAAAGTCATGGGTAACTCTGGCCTATGGGTGACATCCGCCCCCTTCCACCTCTGTGGAAACCCATGCGTAACTCTGGCCTATGGGCGGCATCAACCTTACCCCCACTCCCTCCCACTCCTGTGGACTTTTTCTCCAAGTCTTCACACAGATTTGCAACAATTATGGACCACACTCATCGTAACGGGCACTCTACCACTTGTGTCATGGCCCAGCCCTCACTTATTTCTCTAAATATAACCCCCCACATCAGGAAACATCCATTCACCACGAAGTTAGAATCATAAGTGACACCTACCTATATGGTCCTCCCCACTCTATCCCCAATCCATACTTGCTTTTCTCATTTCTTTTAGTGTGTCTGTGTGTAGTTCTATTTGTATTTCTAAAAAGCACACACTTATTAGTGCATATTAACCGTGCAATGGGGTTACATTGTGATAGTTTCACACGTGTATGTGCTTTGATCAAATTCACCCGCTATTGCTTATTTCTCTTGTCCCCTTTTTTACAATTTAAATGGGTTTCATTATTCTATTTTTATACATAGAAGCAATTTTAATTTTTTTGCTTTATTTTTTAAGAATTACAGGTTCTGAGAGAGTAGCAAAACATAATACAGAGACATGTTATCACCCAATGGCAACAATTTCTGTAACTACAATACAGTCAAAACCAGGCAATAACACTGGTACAACCCACTGGCCTGAATTAGGTCTCCAAGACACTCCTGATGTGTGTGTACTGGAATTTTATTACATGTGCAGGTCCAGGACTGACCACAGGAGGTACAGAACTGTATCACACCACAAAGACCCCCACCACACCTTGACAGCCACCCCCACCCCCTCAACAGTACTGTCTTCTGACCCAAGAACATGACACACCTTCAAACTTATGCAATCTTTTTTTCATTTTTATTAGTATATATTCATTGCACAGGGGCAAGTCTTTATCAGAGCAAATTTTGTAGATTTTGCTGTACAGGTCTCTCATTTTTTTTGTCAGATTCCCGAGCACTTGGTATTTATGCTACTGCATGTTTTTAATTTCACTTGGATGTCCTTTATTTCTGTTTCTTGCCTGATTGCACAGTAAGAGCAGACATCCTGATTTTGCTGGCCTTATTTTTGGGACAGGGTCTCCCTTTCTGCTCTGGCTGGTGTGGATGCAATCCTATTTATGCTTCCTGATTAGCTGAGATGACAAGCATGCCACCACACCCAGCCATTGGTTGAGATGGCTTCTCAAGAACTTTTTGACCAGGCTGACCTCGAACTGCTATCCTGTCCATCTCTGCCTTCCTAGTGACTAGGATTATAGACATGCAACTTCCTAGTAGATAGGATTACAGGTGTGCACCACCAATCCCAACCCCCCTGAATTGACCTTGATGTTAGGGAAAAATATTTTGCCTTTCACAATCTGTAGTGTTCTTGTGATGCCTTCATCAGATTTATTCCCCATTTGCTGGAGTTCTCAGAAATGGATGTTGGATTTTATCAAGTGTCTTTTCTCTACTGTGGTAACTATGTAGTTATTTCTTAGTTTATATGATGAGTTACATTGGTTAATTTTGAATGTTAATTCAATCCTGCATTCTCTGGATAAATTCCATTTGGTTATTATGGGTTACTCTCTTCCTATATTGAAATCTCAGTTTGCTAAACCTTTGCTTAGCATTTTACCCTATTATTTGTTTGGACAACTATTTAAAGAGACTGGGATAAGAATAAATCCTTTATTTATGTACATCATTACTACTTCCATGCTCTTCATTCTTGTGCCTTGTCTGTCTGTCTGAAGGACTTCCTTCACCTTTTCTTGTAGTGCAGGCTACTGGTAGTGTCTTTCAGCTTGTGCAAAGCTGAAGTGTCCGTCTCTTCATATCTGTTATTCTTTCTTCAGCACGTCTAGTTTGCTGTATGAATCAACTCTTTCAACTTCAATTGTGGTTATTTTTCATTCCTCAGCTTTTATTTGGTGCTTTCTCCAATCTGCTTGGTTATTTTTGTAACCATGCTTTTTAATCCTTTTTAAATATTAACATCCTTTATATTACATATAATAACTAACATTTTGAGCCTTTGCAGGCCTGCTTCTGACCATTGTTTCTGCTGTCTCTTGCTGATTTTATGTGATTTTTGACTATGAGCTTATATTGCTTGAAACCTCTCTGAGTTCCCCCAAAGGCAAGAGGAACTTATATACATATTTATGTACACTCCTCACTCCCACTTTTTCTTTTTCAGTACTGGGGTTTGAACTTGCACTTGCTAGGCATGTGCTCAGCCACTTGAGTCACGCCCCCAGCCCTATTTCTATACATTCATGGGTGATGTTTCCTTAGCACAGGCAAACTTCTTTGCAGTTCCAGGGCTGTAATGTTAGGGAAGCAGACAGACTTGTTCACAGATCGCCCTTACACTAGGTCTATCCTTTTGGGCTGTCGACTCCTGAGATCTCCTCCTGGTTCTCCTACCTCAGGCCCAAAGTTTTGTCAGCTGCTCTCCTGTCCCTTCCTCACCCCAGGCTCTGAGAAGCAAAGTTCAGTTTGACACGTGGCAAATCTACAAATGTGAAAAGTGACACTGATGCTCTAATTCCTTTAGGTTTCTCCTTTCATTAAAAATTACTTTTTTTCAATGAAACCCCAGCAGCACAGCAACTAAGAGATAGCATAGATAAATGGGACCTCATAAAACTAAAAAGCTTCTGTTCATCAAAAGAAATGGTCTCTAAACTGAAGAGAACACCCACAGAGTGGGAGAAAATATTTGCCAATTATACATCAGACAAAGGACTGATAACCAGAATATACAGGGAACTTAAAAAACTAAATTCTCCCAAAACTAATGAACCAATAAAGAAATGGGCATGTGAACTAAACAGAACTTTCTCAAAAGAAGAAATTCAAATGGCCAGAAAACACATGAAAAAATGCTCACCATCTCTAGCAATAAAGGAAATGCAAATTAAAACCACACTAAGATTCCACCTCACCCCTGTTAGAATAGCCATCATCAGCAACACCACCAACAACAGGTGTTGGCGAGGATGCGGGGAAAAAGGAACCCTCTTACACTGTTGGTGGGAATGTAGACTAGTACAACCACTCTGGAAAACAATTTGGAGGCTACTTAAAAAGCTGGACATTGATCTACCATTTGATCCAGCAATACCACTCTTGGGGATATACCCAAAAGACTGTTACTCCAGAGGCACCTGCACATCCATGTTTATTGCGGCACTATTCACAATAGCCAAGTTATGGAAACAGCCAAGATGCCCCACCACTGACGAATGGATTAAGAAAATGTGGTATCTATACACAATGGAATTTTATGCAGCCATGAAGAAGAACGAAATGTTATCATTCGCTGGTAAATGGATGGAATTGGAGAACATCATTCTGAGTGAGGTTAGCCTGGCCCAAAAGACCAAAAATCGTATGTTCTCCCTCATATGTGGACATTAGATCAAGGGCAAACACAACAAGGGGATTGGACTTTGAGCACATGATAAAAGCGAGAGCACACAAGGGAGGGGTGAGGATAGGTAAGACACCTAAAAACTAGCTAGCATTTGTTGCCCTTAACGCAGAGAAACTAAAGCAGATACCTTAAAGCAACTGAGGCCAATAGGAAAAGGGGACCAGGAACTAGAGAAAAGGTTAGATCAAAAAGAATTAACCTAGAAGGTAACACCCACGCACAGGAAATCAATGTGAGTCAATGCCCTGTATAGCTATCCTTATCTCAACCAGCAAAAACCCTTGTTCCTTCCTATTATTGCTTATACTCTCTACAACAAAATTAGAGATAAGGGCAAAATAGTTTCTGCTGGGTATTGAGGTGGGGGGAGCGGGAGGGGGTGGAATGGGTGGTAAGGGAGGGGGTGGGGGCAGGGGGGAGAAATGAACCAAGCCTTGTATGCACATATGAATAATAAAAGAAAAATAAATAAATAAAAAAATAAAAACCATCCACAAAAAAAAAAAAAAAATTTTTGCCTTTGGAAACTCTTGCTCAATGATTAGCTCAGACACATTTAAAAGGCGTTTTCCAGATGTGTTCTAAAAGCTGTTGTTTTCAGCTGCTCCCCCTCAGCCATGCTGGAAACTCAACTTGTTCCTTAACAATTCAGTTTTCACAGTGTGTCCTGATCCAGAGGCAATAAAGTCAGAACACACAAGAGGACCCAGGTTGGCCAAGGATGCAGTCTCAGACCCACTAGCACAGTAGCCATTCCGTGACTCAGTTTCTTCTTAGGGTCAACATGAGAATTTAATGAAGTAATTTGTGAACAGCCCTTACGACAGACTGGCCCTGGTAAGGATGATATGAGGACTTCTTTTCATTATGTAAAGAAGGTGTAATGATCAACAGCACACCCCTCACTGAATGGTCCAACACCCTTGGTCTTTGCCATTCCAGCTTATGCTACAGTGCAGGAAGCACAACCCTGTGCTTGCAATGATGGAGAGAAATCAGCCATGAGCTAGTGACAGACAGCTGGCCCAGCTGCCCACATAGATGACCCCACCGCAGAGCAGAAGGCAAGCTAATGTCAAGCTGAGAATGTCATCGCTATACAGGCCTGAGTGCACACACAGCCCTTTACAGTTAATCTGAAAACAAGCACTGATAAACAAACGTGATTTTCAATTCTGCATTTCTCATGGTAGACAGTCATCATGTGCTCCAACAGCCATCTGAAGCCAACAGTCCTGGTTATTAAAAATCACGAAGTTGTACAAATGTTTTCCTCCTCTATGAAAACCATGTTCATTCTCCCTCCAGGAAACGGGGCTGTATGCAAAGCCTTGAACAAGGTAGCCCATGGAGATAACTTTGGTTCATCGAAGTAGTGACTGAAAAAGAAAAATAATTCTTAATAAACAGGGAGTTAGGATTGTCCATATTTTAAAAAACTAATTCAGGAGAAGAGGTACATCTGATATTCTAGTGAAGTTTATAGACTTTAGCTTTACTTATAAAAACTGGGAGATGGCAGGTTAAATTCCGGATGCTATCTTGTGAGTTTCATAAAGGTTATAATATGCCACAGTTCCAGCCTTCCAACCCTTAGTTTTCAATCATTTAAGAGTCAGGGAGGGGAAATGGGGAATAAAGCGGAATGATGGAGGGGGTGAATTCAACTACGACATATTGTAAGAAGTTTTGTAAATGTCACAATGTATCCCCAGTACGACAATAAAAAAAAAAAAGAAAATTAACAAAATGAAGAGAAAAGGAAGAGTACAAAAACCTTAAAAAAAGAAAAAAGTCAGAGAACTAGGCTGGGATGTGTCCATCATGTGCAAGGCACTAGACTTCATCCCCAGCACCACAAAAAACCACCGCAAAGTGTTTAAGAATGTCTCACTCCCATTAAAAGCAAGGTTCTCAGTTTGTTTAATGAAACACCACAGGATAATTCATCAGATTTTTTAAATCCCAAATTTCTTATTGAAGAAAATCAAAGGATTAAACTAATAAATGTAAAAAAGGATGTGTTGAATTTAAAAAGGAAAACCCTGAAAACTTAGTTTAAAAGAAAAGATTGAGAGCACATGCTTAGTAAATGGGATTCTGCTCCATTTAGTCTTTTCAACATGGGACTTGACACATTGTACTTATCTAGAACCTCATCAAATGACATTGTGCCCAGTGATTCACAGCATTTCAGCACTGGAACACATCTAGGAATGACTGGGATTCAGAGACGATCAACTTTTCCTCCCTATTTCTTCCCACCCCATTTTAGAATGAAACATTTTGTAGAACTATGATACTAAAAATAAACCCTAATTTGCCCACAGAATACTGCTGTTTTCAAGTGATGCTACAACTTGGACTGCATCAGAACAGCCCAGGGAGCCGAACCAGGAAGGAGCAGCTGCCTTTCAAGAAGCAAACCCAGCCTCTGCTCTTCTCGTAGGGACAAGTGCGTAGTAATAGCATTTTCCTATCAGCACGGATAATTATGCTGCCTAAAATGATAATGTTACTTTACTTTGGGCCCAAGCAAGAAAGAAAGGGAACTACGTGAAGGACCCTGCCTCGTGCAACACTAGCAATGTCCTGGCATGGCACCAACAAGCGAGACATAAAAGGCAAAAAGAGTTCTCACCTCAGTTGTTCCAGGAGGACACCAATCTTCTCCGGAAGTATGAAGCCAGTGATTGTACACAAGTAAGCTGTGGCCACCACTGTGCTCGGCTGAGGACAGCAATAGGTTGATATGAAATTATTAGGCTCGTTATTTCTGTCACACAAAAAGGAAAGAAAGCATATTTAGAACCACTACATAATCACATCTGAAGTATTAACACGTATTGAAAACAAGCAGCAAGCCAGAGCCCCGCACAATCCTGGGAGTTCAGATACCCACAAGTCGGCATTACAGAAGACAGCACCCAGCCAGTCGAAGAGCTCCGGGGCGCTGCAGGATGTCTCTGGCTGTCCCCCGAGCTCACTGCTCTGCAGCACTGGGCACTGCACATCTCTCACTGTACTCAGGGCTACTTTTGGCCAGTGCTCCTGAATCTGGTATTTGGAGAAGTATGACATCATCGTTGATTCTTCTGTACCTGAAAACATACCATGTAAGACCATGTGAACTTGTGTACAACTTCAGTGAATCCCTGAAATGACTCCATTCCCATGGAATTATGAGAATCAGGTAAGATTAAGTAAAATGAGAGCTGTGCAAGGCACTAATCAAATTAAAACCATTTAAAGTTGTTTTCAGCTCCATGTGCCAAAGTTCTATAAAGATTCATCTTCCATACTTTTCCTGGAAATACCCAATGCTTTCAGATTGGCCCCACATTAGTTTTGTTTGCTCTAATAAGAAAGTTTCAACTTAAACAAAACCTAGAGTATCCTCTATGTAGGAGCATTAGTGAACTCTACACAGAACATATATGTACAATCTATGTAAGAAACAGAAGAGAAACTGAGTGATCGCAGAATCTCATTTTAAGCTTCCCTTTGAAAACTCCAAAAAATCCAGTGTGTGTTTTCAGAGAAGTATGCATAGTTGGCAGCCTTGGAAGAGAGAAACAGTGCCCCACTGTCCTCCAGAGCACGGGACTTACTGTCCAGTACAGTAGAAAAACTGTCTCCCTTCATCTCTTTGCACAAAGGTCAGCAGGCTTACAGCCCATTATAAAAGGTTAGAGTTCCTTAAGCTCTGAGTTCTGCCCATAATGGAACCCACTGCATGTGCCAGCACCTCTGGACCAACCATGTGTCACTCTTGGGAACTGAGACATGGTGAACTGGTGCAAATGCTGGTTCTCTATGTGAGGGTTAGTTTTAGGTGTCGACTTATCTGGCTAGCTGATAAAGCAGTTTCTGGGTGTGTCTGTGAGATATTTCCAGAGGTCAACTGGCATGTGAGTGAACTGAGCAGGGAAGATCCACCCTCAGTGTAGGAGTGCACCATCTAGCTGGGTGGGGACCCAGGCAGAACAAAAAGGCAGAGGAAAGGTGAATTCATGCTCTCCTGGAGCAGGGACATGCAGCTTCTCCTGCCCTTGGACATCAAAATTTCAGGTTCCTTGGTCTTGGGACTCCAGGACTTGCACACGGGCCACCAGGTTCTCAGGCCTTTGGCCTTGGCTTGAGTGACATCATCAGCTTGCCTGCAGCTGAGGTGTTCAGACTTGGACAAGCATCCCTGGGTCTCCAGTTTGTAGGTGGCCATCAAGTGACTTCACAGCTCCACAACTGCATGAACTATTTCCCCTAAGAAGTCCCCGCCCATCTATTTATCAGCCCCTCTCTCTCATTCTCTCTTCCCTACTGGTTCTATCTCTCCGAAGAGCCCTGACTAATTCATCAGGACTACTGCTCCTGCTGTGAAGAACAAAGTCCTTTGTTACCGACCCAGCAGTTGCTCGTTTTCTGCAAGTATCCATGAGACTATGGCAGGCCACTCCATTAGCTGGCAAACAGGATAAAATCTCAAACTTTTCAGTTCCTGAAAATCTCTGATAGCAATCAGCAATCTTAGGAACAGAACACTACATAAAGCATGAATGGTCCTCATGGAAAACTTCACATGACAAACTTCAGGAAGTCTCTCTGCCCTCATCCAGGGAAAGGAGAGGCACCAAAGCCTTATAAAACCAGGACCCAGGGAAGCAACGTGGAACAACCTGTGAACAGGGGTCTCCCACGGGGACATTTCCACAATGGACTCACGTGCTTCCCTATCCCTCAAAGGAGGGTGCTACACCACCACAACTCCTAACGATCGGTTCACTGTAATCTTCCACAGATACGCTTGTAAGAGGAGCAATGCATGTGGCAGTTGTGAGCAGGTTAACACACCTGATGACATAAAACTCTGAACTAAATTTAGTGCTAAGTCACAACAAATTTAAACTGATACTTAATGGTATGCCTGAGTTACTACGATCAATAATGACAGAGAGATCACATGCTGTTATAATTGGTGTTAATTTAAAATATTCTAGCCAAGGACGTTTTAGGTAAGCTGGAAGGGGAGAAGCAGACAAAAGTTAGCTTCTCTGAAGCCACTCTCAAGATCCTGGGATCTACATGTACCCAAGAAGATTGAGGCAGATGGCTTCAGACCTAGATTATCCCCAGCTGTGGTTCTCAGTGTGTCAGAAGGCTCAAGCAGCTTCCTTAATGTTTATGCACTTATGCACACATATCAATTCTCCATTACTCCTCTTTAGTTAGTAATTAGATTTCAAAATCATCACATCATTACAATCATTTATCCTTCATACCTGTATGATGCCACGCCAAAAGAAAATCAAATTTCAATGGCTTCTTTGAAGGACCAAGATACTCTTTCATACTTCTTAGAATCTGGGTTAGAGGATAAATCCATCAAATCAATGGAAACAACTTTAAAATGGAAAAAGGAAGAGATATTCCATTCATATACACAAAGCTTGCACTGTGAATAGTGTTATGCTTAAAAAGAAAGAATTTGGGGGTAGTTTACAGATAGCACAAATTACTTCTTCTTCTTCACTCCTTTTGATTCATCAAGTCAAAACTATCCTTCAGTGGGCATTCCTAGCAGTGAGCGCTGCTAACAACAGGTGTTTTAAGTTCTTCTCTTTCTGAGGTCAAAGATCAAGGGCAGAGATGCTCAGGCGTCAACTCTAATCTACTTAGGAATGCAGCAGCCTTAACTACTGATGCCCACAGCAGACACCATCAGCAGAATCACATCTCTCCACCCCCGGGTGAGTTTCTACTAGTCATCATAAAGGCCTGGGGAAATTCTTTATAAGAACTAGTTGTTGACTTCAACATTGGGTTCATTACTTTGAACTTCTGGCCCCAAACTTATGTATCTAATGACTAGCCTGATCCTATGAGCTTTATAAAATGCAGCAGACAATGGAAGAGAAGTACAGTTCACAGACTCCTGAAGCCCAACCCACAGTATCTGGAATCAGAAGTTTCAAAGGCAAGAAACAGCCACATTTTCCCAATAGAGATCAGAATGGCTCAAACATTTAAGTTCTAGCTGTGGCAGGAAGATATCGGGCTTGCTAGACACTGATGGAGCACACATAATACTTACTAAACTTCATGGCTTTTTTGCCAGAATACCGAGATGGACAACCATGAAGTCCAGTTTCTACATAAGTGTCTTTATCCAGTGATAAAATTAACTTCCCTATAAATCAAGCAACAGTTCCCATAAGAGATGCTAAAAACATCACTTGTGTTCTCTTACTAAGAAAGCAAGATAACTGAGCAGTTAGAAATCAGTGTAGTGACTGCATGAGGACCTTGTTTAGAATTATATGCACTAATATCGAAAGATGTCTATGATATGTAGCTTGGGAAAAAATAACATCGAGAAACAATATAGTTTGATATCATTTATGTAAAAAAAATTTATGTGTGTTTATAAATGCATAGAAAATTCTGGAAGAATTAATACCAAACTATTCCATCTAAGAAGGGAAGTAAGTTTGGAGGGAGGAGAGACCTTCATTTTGTTCTATATACATCTCAATGATTTGACCTTTCTTTTTTTTTTTTTTTAAACAGTAGGCATTTCTTTTACAATTAAAAAGAAAAAAGAATTTTGTTACCATTTGGTAGCAGGGCAACAGTGTTATCCTCATCAATATTGGTATTGTATGTGAGTGCATAGCACGAGCCTGTAAGAGAAAAGTCCAAGGATATCAAGGTAAAGACCACACACAAAATGTCAATGGATTACTTTCACAAGACAACAAACCTTCCAGGGAGGCACGGTCAGTCCCTGGCACTGCCCCACCTCACTCAGTAGACCCAACACAAGGCGTGGCTGTGTGGAGCACACAGGAGGCCAAGCTCCAGCTAGTTCACTCACTAAGGTCTCATTTTCTCTAACTTTACTATTATCAGGCAGAAAATGGACACAGAACGGAACGTGTACCCTCGGGGATGCTGACAGAAAGGCACAAAGTAAAACACCAGGTATATGAACACAACTTAGAGGCAGAGTTCTAGGTTAAAATTCAAAAGCTACTCAGCCTTTCCTCATCTGTTACTCGGGGATTGAAGACCTAGTTCCCAGATGCAGGATGTAAGGTATTTAACAGCGCCTGCCAAAAGTGTCCATGCCATTAACAAAATAGTCTCGGACTTCACAGTGGATGAAAACAGTAACGTTGATGAAAACGAAGACAGGCTGTCCAGTTCCATCTGCAGCCCCAGCAGCATTTGACTGAGTAGCACTGATGTAACTACAATTCTTCACAGGTCAACTGGAGAGGACAAACGTAGGAGCCCGTGTACAGTGGCTCAGGAGGTGAGGGTGGAACCCCTAATGACACTCTGAAATACAACTTCAAACAATGGCTCCTAGAAACGACTGAACAAACCTGTCAATCCAGCAGATGTGAGACACAAAATCTAAGAAGACACTGAACCGAAAGGAGCACCTGGCCCAGTAACCAGCAGCTGTGGCTGCATCTGACACAGCCACTGTGGGGACAGCTGAGTGCACAGTCTCTTTGCAGTGACATCCCCAAGATCAGCACATGTGAACAGAGATGGCAGACTTTCCTCTCTGTGGATCCTTGTTTTATGATGACAGACATTACATTACATTACAGCACCTCCACCCTAGACTTGGAGACAAGTGTAATAAAAAATTGCCACCCAGCAAGGATGCAGGAAAGAGTAAGATGAGATGCAGGAAAGAGTAAGATGGGATGCAGGAAAGAGTAAGATGGGGAACGATGCACTCACTTGACCACACCACTATCCCCACAGGCCCTTTTTAAAACAAGAGGAACCCTCTTACAGTGCTGTGGTCTCCCTGTAGTTCCTCACTTTGACTGTTCATTACATGACAGTACAAGGTTTTTCTTACCTTTCTTTACAAAGGTGTTGATGAACTCCTGTGTTATTAATTCATGAAGAGGCAAATTCTTCACAAAGTAATAGGGTCCAGTTTCCATGACCAGGCTTTTCAGTTCTTTCGGTAGCACCCCACATTCAGGAATGAAAAATGAAACCTATTGGAATGCATAATCCAAACAAGGTTTTAGTGAACTTTTATGCAAATCACTATTTCTCCACAGGTTTTACTGGAACATGCAAACACAGCCAACAAGTCTCTTAAGTTAACCAACCAAACTCAGGCAAAGAGAAATTTGACAATTCAAGTTCTTCATTTCTGCAATGCAACACACGGTACTGGAAAGACACTAGGCAGAAACATTTTAATTGAAAGGTCTTGCTTGCATTTTACCTTTTTCAAATGAGCAATATATTTTACGTCCTGTGCCTCTCATTCCTTTATTTTCAAGGAAATACAGTATAATCAATTAGCCCTAGATTTGTGTACCCTAGTAAGAACTGCTCCTGGCAGCATAAGGAGTTAAGGAGCATTTAATCATTAAGAGACTACCCAGAAGCAGAAGTGCTTCTGGAGGTTTCCATTCTAGACAGAGAAATTCAACAGGTCAGACCCGACAACTTAAGGCATCTATCCCTAACATGCCTCCTGGGATGCGCTTGCCAACCAAACCAGAGCTGTCAAACCGAGCAGATTCAAATGCGGCCCAAGGGCTGGCAGCTTCAAAGACCCTCTCCTGAAGCTCCAACACATCCGTTCCTGAGGGATCTCAGAAATCAATCCGGCCGGTCAACTTGAAGGGTAAAATGCTCAAGTTCTTATCGTTGAATTTCCCTGGAGTTTCTGGAATATCAGTTTATAAAAGCGGGCAGCATGCGCGGGCTGGTTCAGTTCTGGAAAGATGCGCAGGTGGGAGAGGGAATCCAGCAGCGGAGGGACGGGGTGGTGGGGAGAAGACCCAACCACCTAAGAGAGCACTAGAGCTGCACCTCACCGCCTCGCAATTACCGGGACTCGCGCCCCGTGGGCGGGTACAGAATTGGAGTAAGTAGCCAACCGAAGGACAAGCCCCGTCCCGTCTGTCCCTGGGCCCCGCCCTGCGCTACAGACACGAGCACTGAGACTACAACTCCCAGCATGCGCCGCGAGGGTCCCGCCACGAGAAGCCGAGCGCAGCTCCCACCATCCTCTCCACCGGCGACCTAGCGCGGCCTGCCTCACCCGGTAGTTATGATAGTGCGTCTCCACAAGATGCCGGTGGCGCGACTTGTCGTGGCCGAAGTTGGATTTCTCGCAGACCAGTAAGTGCCGAGGCGTCTCTCGCAGTCTGCGCAGCGTGGCCATCCTCACCACGACGCCTGGCGCTCTGTCCCGCCGCGAGCTCGGCGCGCCCCGCCCCTACTGTCTGCTCCGCCCCTGCTCTCCGCTCCGCCCCCACCCGGGCATGCGCAGTGCGCGGCCGCTCGAAGCATGGGATACCTGCGATAGGTGGAGGTTAGGTGAGCAGTGCGGGGCTTTCGAGTTCCTTACGCGGTGAAGAACTCACGCAGAAGCTCTTTGGTGGGTGTCTGGAGCCGCAACTGCAGCCTCAGAAGGAAGCTGGCCCTTGCCTTTTCAAAGCCGCTTTTCCTTTATCCCTTCCATCCCTCGGGGCTGTGGTCACTTCTCCCCAGGACCCCCAGGACCTGGGCGGGACTCCCCGAGGAGCTGCGGCTGCGGCCGTTGTAAGAAGCAGGGAACGTCACAGCGCAGAGTGCAACGCAGGCGGGAAATGCAGCCCACAGTTACGGGACCCCAGCCCACGTTGGGGGGTGCACGCCAACGCTGCTCCTCTGACTCCGCACGGTCTGGTTATGCAGTACCTTGTCATCCTGCAGTGGACCTTTTGGCTTTATTAACACACTGCTCCTTTCCAAAACGTAAGGAAGTTTGTGTGGGAAGACAATACACAATTTCTGCAATAGGACGCCTTCGGAGCCACTCTCAAAAGCCCTTTTAAATATCCCTTTGGAACCACTTTCAAAATTTGTTGCAGTGGTAAATCTCGTGTCATTTTTCCACTTCCCTTTTTTTATTAACTGCAAGTATTACAGTGCTACATGCTTAAACTAGAGAATCATAGCTCCATTTCTGCACCGAGCAGATGCAAACAGCAGAATACTGGTGCATCCTGGAGCATCAGTTTTACTTCAAAATATGGAAAAAAATGAAATTAAGTCATGTACAAGGTAAATAATTAAAAATTTTTAAACTAAAACGAGGCTGGGAAGTCATCTGCCATTAACAACTGTCAATAATCTTTGCCTAAAATGTCGGACTTTCTCAGAAAGAATTCTAATGAGAACTTAATGTCCCATTATTTTAAATGGCCAAATTATGTAAGACGTAGCAAGTCAACCAAAACACATTCCAACTTCCTAAGTCACAATATGGCACCCAAATGTAAGGTGCCAGTAACATGTTAGCATATAAAATGCTTAAACATCGCTTCCTGCTCACCTCACATTTAATATGGTTGTGGCCTGATTGCAGCCTCCCTGGCTCCATTTTTACAACCAGTTTCAGGCACTTCTTCTCTTGCTGGTTTACTGCCAAAGATGGCATCCTAGGCTTCTTCTTGTTTCCTCTCTTGTCCTCCTAAGTCCATTCTCCACTCAGCATTTAGAATGACCTCATGAAAACATGAAAAACATGCTATATATCCCCTCCCCCACTTAAACCCTGTCACTGGCTTAGAGATCCTGACCCCAACCTGCCTCTTCAGCCACATCTCCTACCGTTGCTTGTTCATACTTTTGAGGGTAAAATGTCCTGGAATCAAGAGCTGAAAGCAGTCCAAAGTAACAGATAGTAGGTCATAGAATGAAGTGCCAAGGGCATGGAAGGATAAGTCTGACAGCAAGAAGGGCCATGAAGCCAGGTGCCAGTGGGTCATGCCTGTAATCCTAGCTACTTAGGAGAGTGAGATCAGGAGGATCCTGGTTCGAAGTCAGCCCAGGCAAATAGTTTGTAAGACCCCATCTCCAAAATAACCAGACCAAAATGGATTGGAGATGTGGCTTAAGCTGTAGAGCACCTGCTTTGCAAGCATGAAGCCTTGAATTCAAACCCCAGTCCTACCAAAAAACATTATTTTAAATAAATTAATACCTGGATCAAGGTACAAATCCAAAACACAATTACATTATCTACATACTTGAAAACATATCCTGTCCAGAGACGTATGGTGTTTACTAAGGGAAAGCAAGTGTTCTCAGACCCAGAAGCACCATAGTGACCAGGCTGTGCTATTTGGAACCCTGCCAGGGAGTCCTTTACCACCATCTCATTACACTGAGGAGCAGCAGTGCTGGGAGATGGAGCCACTGCAGGCCCTGGTATGAATGGAGGACTCCCTCCTGCTGAGCCTGAACTTGACCTCACAGCCCAAATTATCCTCAGACAGCAGAGAGGAAACTGACACCAGCAGCAGCAATGGAAACAATGACCCCTGCAGAGGTCTGAATGTCTTATGCCCTCTCTTTCCCCAGTTCATAGGCTAAGCCCAGTCACCAGTGTGTGGTATTGGGAGGCAGGCCTTTGGGAAGTGATGTATGGGATTAGTGTCTTTTTAAAAGGTACCTCGCAGAGCTGCTTTGCTCCTTCCACCATGCGAGGAACAGCACAAACAGGCCATCTGTGAACAAGAAGAACACCCTTAACCAGACACTGAATCTGCCTGTGCCTTGATCTTGGACATCCCAACCTTTAGAACTGTGATGAATAACTTTTGTGATGTTAGTCTGCTATGAAGGCTGTGGTATTCTGCTACAGTAGCCTGAATATGGACTAAATCCCCTACAAGAATGATGATCTGCTCCACTCAAGGACCTGGAATCCCAGGTCTCTCTGGCAAGGGCTCAGAACTAAACAACTTCATTTCTTTTCATGTCAGTATGTGATCATGTGCAAATAAAGTCATATTTCAAAAGCATAGCCCAAAACAGTTGGCAACGTCTGAGTAAAGCTCTGCCATGTGTGTTTATAAGCAATTTTGGAAGAGAACTTGGAAATAGCTGAAATATTTTTATAAAGCTCTTTCTTTTAGTTTGTTTACATTTAAAAACACATTGAATAATAAATTGATACAAAAAAGTTTAAATACTATTCTTAGCTATCCAGAAACTGCAAATATCTAGAATGAGGCATTTCTCAGTGGTCTATGTAACTTAGATTTAACAAGTTTGAATACTATTAATGCATAATGCAGCTGGTAGAAAATTATGCATTCATAGAAAAAAGAATAAACACTATAGTATTATATAGAATTTAGTGATTATGTAACATATGTTAGTTAGCTTTCTACTACTGTAACAAAATAACTGAGCTAATCAGCTTAAAAAGAGAAAAGGTTTATTTGACTCACAGTTTTGAAGGTTTCTGTTGTTTGTGGGCCTGTAAGCAAGGCAGTATATCTTCTCAGGGAGCTTTTGGTAGAGCAAGCTGCTCACCTTACAGTAGCCAAGAAACAAAAAAGAGACCAAGGTCCCACAATCCCCTTCAAGGGCACACCTCCAATGACCAAACTTCCTCCCACCTGGCCCTACCTCCTAAAGATTCTACCACCTCCTAGTAGTGCCAAGCTGGATCCCAGTCCTTTAACATATGGTCTTTTTGAGGGAGACATTTCAGATCCAAATTATGGCATATATTATTTATATTGCAAATCAGGTACTGCTATAAGCATTTTATATTCATTATTTCACAAGAATCTTCTTTGAGGTAGGTTTTAATATATTCAATTTAGAGGTTACTTAGTAAACAATAAAATTGAATAATTGTTTAAAACAGAATTTTCTAAAAATGCAATGTTATACAAGTTTATGTAATGTGTTTATTTATAGAAAGTTTAAAAACTTGCCAAGTTAAACAATATATTGTTATTATTAACATATAGTAATACTAATGAAAGTCAAAGGATTGATATTGTTTTGTTATTTCAAATGAATGCTTCTGTTTGGGAAGGGCCATTCAGAAGACCTCAAAGGTAGTGGTGAAGTTTTATTTATTAAGCAGGTGATAAGTACAGATTGTTTATTTTCTTTATACCATGTATGTTTTACATACGTATAATTTATATATGTATGGCTTTATACATATAAAATAGTTCATAGTTCTTTTTAAAGCATCTATATATACCTACTGTCAGACCTCATACTTTGCTCATTTGAAGTGTATAATTCAGTGGTTTTTAATATATCCACAAATAAGCAATAAACACCATAGTCACTTTCAGAACACCTCAAAAAGAAGCCCCATGCCCTTTAACTATCCCCCTCCTCAGCCCTAAGCAACCACTCATTTTCTTTCTGGGTCTATAGATTTTTCTGAACATTCATGTGAAAAGATTCATAAAATAGGTAGCCTTTTGTGACTGGCTTCTTTCTCTTAGTAATGTCCTTAAGGTTCATCCAGGCATAACACAAGTTAGTACTTCATCCCTTTTTATGGCTGTCACAATACTTTATTTATAAATTCTCTTCTTGAATGCTGGTGTTTGGGGAAAAAATAGTGAGAAGGAAGTGAGATAGACAAAGCCTTCTCCTGAGAGCCTAGAGGACCTTTAGCTACTTCTGAGGTCTCTAGCAGTGGGTGGCCCTAATTCTTATTTCAGAATGTGACTGAAACATTCCAGAACTGGGAATGCTAAGCCATGGGTGGAGTTTTGGTTTCTAGTGAATATGAATGAGGCAGGGAGTGGAGAAAGAGTTATTTTACTGAAGAAAGAGGACAAAAATGATGAAAGAGATGCAGCGGGAGGATGGAAGAGGGAGGGGAGCTGCCTGCAGCAGATGGAGAAGAGTGTAATCAGGGAAAGGCAGAACAAAGGGTGTAAGTGCAGCTGGGGTGCAGGGAGGGTCTGAGGGGAAGGAGAGGGTCATGGAAAAAGAGCGGCAAGTCATAAATCCCAACGTTCATCATGGGCCTTGGGATCTGGTCATGCCCTGTGTTAGTTTTTTGTTGCTGTGGCAAACACCTGAGAGAAACAACACAAGGGGGAAAGATTTATTTTGGCTCCTGGTTTCAGTCCATTTACTTGGTTCCATTGATTTGGGTCAGAGGTGAGGCAGGACATCATGCAGGAAGCATATGGTGGAGCAGAGCTGCTCCCCTTATCATGGACAGGTAGCAAGAAGAGACAGATGAAGGGTCTAGGACAAGAGAGAGCCCCCATGGACACAGCCCCAGTGATCTACTTCCTCTGACTAGATCCCACCACCTCCCAATAAATGCCATCAAATTATGAATCCATCAGTGGATTCATCCGTTGATTTGGTCAGAGCCCTCTCACCTATTAATGATTGAATCCACCAGCTGGGGACCAAGCCTTCAACACATGAGCCTTTCGAGGG